CCCCCCTCTCCACCCCCCTACACCCACCCCAGCAGCCATTCATCATATCCATCATCCATCCATCATCCATCCATCCATCCATCCATCCTCCAACCATCCCTACATCCTATTTCCCCCACCCACTCCCAATCCATCCATCCATCCATCCATCCATCCCATCCACCCATCCATCCATCATCCATCCATCCCCATCCATCCATCTACCCATCCATCCATCATCCACCCATCCATCCATCCATCCCATCCACCCATCCATCCATCATCCATCCATCCCCATCCATCCATCTACCCATCCATCCATCCCATCCACCCATCCATCCATCATCCATCCATCCATCTATCCATCATCCATCCATCATCCATCCATCCATCCATCCATCCCCACCTCCCAATTCCCACACCCACTGGAGCCTCAACTCTGTCTGCACTCCACCCCCAAGTAGCCGCAATCCATCCCCAACCCTAACGCCAAGACAGCGCTGGCTTCAGGTAGGCAACCGTGTTGAGACCTAGAAATGGGGAGGTCATTTCGGGGGGGTCTCAGGGTGAGCTCGATGGGGCACTGGTTTGGGGTCACGGACTGAGGGAGGACCTGAGCCGTCCTATCCAGCCTTGCCTTCTCCTGGAGCATTCCGCTGAGGTCCCCATAGGGTGCGTACTCCTGGGCAAAGGCAAAATGTTGGGGTGTCTGCAGGGGCCTCCCCAGCGTCTGCAGCAGGCCTGGGTGCGAAGAGACGCAGCGGCCCACACAGAATTCTCTCAGGAAAGTTGTTCTCAGGACCGAGTCCCGCCGGAGGAGCTTAAGGGCCACGGTTTTACCTGTCAGAAAGATGGCATCAGATGAGAACCCGCGATACCTTGGACCTGCTGTGGGACCTTAGGCAAGCCACTTGACCTCTCTGAGCCTGAGAATTCTCATATGAAAATCAAGCGTCCCCTCCTGTGACGCGTGGGTTGGACATAGACCTTCTTCCCTTAAGTCCTTCCTGCTCTGCCTTGGACTGTGTTGCCTTTTGTAACTGCCTTACTCTCACTGGTCCTCCATTCCCTATAGCGTAAGGGGACATGGTGGGGACATGAGCTCCAATTCAGATTGCTCCCCTGCCTTGCTGTGTGATGTGTGACCTGGAGTCTGCCACTTGCTCTCTCTGGGTGGCCTATGTCTCTCAGAAGCTGTGCACTTTCTGAGCTCCCGCCAGGTCTGCCTTATCTCTGAGGTGCCTCATGATGGGAGACTTTGAAGTCCACCCCTTGGTGGCCGAACTCACCCCCTTGGCGAGGCTGGGCTAGGAGCACTCGGCCGTAGGAACCGGAACCCAGCTTTCGGATGAGACGGTACTGGACACGCAGGCTTCTCACCGATGTAACCCGGCTGGCTGTCAGCTCTACTAGCCGCTGGAGGGCCATGGCTGTGTCTTCCTGTGGGGATAAGGAGTGGCACGGTTGAAGGGTGCATCTGGGGCCTCTCTGAACAACAGGAGAGCTCAGAGGCCCAGAAACAAGTTGTGGATACAAGGGACAGGGGGTCACTGTCCCCAGAGAGAAGGATGAGTCACAGTGAGTCACCCAGCCTGGGGACATCTGTTTTTGTATCCTAGCGAAGTTAGGGGTCTCGGTCTCAGAGGCTTTGTCCGTCCCCACCTCAGGAGGCAGCCAGAAATTCTCAACCCCAACTGTGGCTTCGATTTTAGCCCAACGGGACCCCTTCTTCCTCTCTCCGTGCTCCCATGTGTTCTGATGTTTGTGGTCTCGTTCAGAGACCGAGCCTTTGGGTCTACAATGTTATCCTTTCCTGAATCTGGGCTTCCAGCTCTCTCTCTCTCTCTCTCTCTCTGACTGTCTCTCTCCTCTTATCTGTCTTTCCCTCTCTGTGTTCTCGGTCTTTGTCTCTGTCTCTCTTTGCCTCCATCTCTCCCTCCAAACCTCCCTCGGTTTCTTCCTGCTCTCTGTCTCTCTGCCTCCCTTCTGTCCCCCCCTCTCACCTCTGTATCCCCATCCTCCAGGGTCTCGAGGGCCCTGAGCTCCATCTCAGGTTGCCTGATGTCGGCTGGCCCTTGTAGGTACCCCTTATCTAGACTCCCCAAGAGGAACCAGCCCAAGGGACCCTCTGCACCCCCGAGGGTCCTTGCCCAGCCAAGGATTGCCTTGGTGTCGGTCTGTCTAAAACAATCTTCCTGGCTCCTGAAATTTCTCAGACTTCTTCCTTTTCTTCTGCCTGTCAGTTTCTGGGGGTGTGTCACCTTCTGCTGCCTTGTTTATTTCTTTTGAGGCTGATCCCTTCTCTACAACTCAGACAGTCTGAATCTCTCTCTCTCTCTCTCTCTCTCTCTCTCTCTCTCTCTCTCCCTCTCTCCTCTTTGTGTCTTTGTCCCTCCCTCTTTCTATCTCTTTCAATCTTGTTCTTTACTCTCTAAGTATAACTTCCACTCTTTTTCCTTTCATTTATCTCTTTCCCCACCACCGTCTCCCTGTCCCTGTTTTTCCCCAGGGAAGTCTCCCCCTCTCTACCCTGCCTTTGTTCCCTGGGGGCTCTGACTTCCCTACACACACTCTCCCCCTGTTTATCGGCTGAGTCTGCCCATGGGACGTCCCCACACTCCTTCCTCTGTGCCCTCTTCTCTCCGGCTCTCTGGGCTGTCTCTGTGTCTCCCTCTTTGTTCTGACTGTCTCTCCCAGCCTTTTGTCCCTCCCTTTCTCTGGGCAGAGGTGTGTATGACAGCTCAGAGACAGAGACATCCTGTCCCCCCCCACACCTCCCTCACCCCCCTGACACTCTGTCCTCTCCCTCCCCCTTCCAAACTTAGACCAGCTTGGACTCCGGGCGCTGGTCCCAGGACAGAGGGGACGAAACGTATTGTGAACCCCCAAGAGCCAGGCTGAGAGCAGAAGAAAAATGATGGAAGACTCATTCAAAGCCAGTGGGCACAACTGGTCCAGGGCTCGACCATTTTATTAGGGGCTGGGA